AGCTGAACAGGTGTCACATATGTCATACAGCCTACGATGGCTGAAGTAGAACTGAACCGGCCATATAACCAGAAGTACTAACGGATGGTAAAAAAACTACAGTATAAAGACCACCCGTAGACAGAACAAGTGCATCTACACGATGGACAGATGACGTCAAAAAGATTACTAGGGACTGGCTGCAGGAAGCTCAAGGCCGACATAACTAGAAGAAATTAGTTAAGGCCTTTGTTTAGCTTTGGACACATAATACACATAATAATACTGGATGATGATGATGATAATAATCAATATGATGATGATGGTGATGATCATGTGAAGATTGTGAAATGTTTAAGAAACTAACTGCTTCTTCTTTCTGTCCTAAAATGGACAGATGTGAAAGAGAATAATAAATTTCATTTAAAAGTTGTATTTCATCAGGGGTCAGTATTAAGTCCTTATTTATTTTCATTCGTCTTGAATAAGAAAACAGGGATTTTCATAGGTCTTTTGCATATTTCTGTAATTTGGTCGATTCGTTCTATTGGGGATCTTTCTGTTGGTGATCTTTGGATTTCTACCTTTTTTTGGATAATAAGTTTTTCCATGTTTTCTTTGTTTGCTCTGACAACATGACCAATAACGCCTATAACAAGTATTTGAATTGTTAGAGATGCACTAGAGACGTTTGCTGACCTTTACTTCATTTAAAATTAAATTATTTGTCCGATATTTGATCCAGTATTTGTAATATTCTTCTTTAAGAGAACATTTCAGTGGCGTCTATCTTTCTTCTTTTCGCTTGTCGTAGGCTCGAAGATTCACATCCTTATGTCAGTATTGTGAATATTAATCAGCTGATAAACCTCATTTTTACAGTTCGTAAAATTTGAAAGTCCTTGCATATTATGGCCATCTTTTCTACAGTGACTTTTGCTTGATCACATCTACGTTCTATGGTTTCAAAACTTTTTCGAATAACATCAGAGTATTTGAAATGTTTATTTAATAATAAAGTTACCAATATAGGCAAAATGGTAGATTTGGATGGTGAATGATTATGAAAAATAATAGTCGTAGTCCCTAACTAGAGGCAAATTACAGACTAATGGCAAAAAATGCAATAATGTATGTAGATTTTGACCAAGAAGAATAATGTTTAAAAAAATAAATAGGGTATTGTGTAACGACACATTTTAATAAAACAAAATCGAAAATTTTGTACAACTACCATAACACCAGCGATGATGTATTGTAATTCTACTATTTGATTTGTACCTCCTATGGATATACTAGAATTTTGTATCTGAACATTGTCGTTTCTTTAGGCTGGGATATGTGTTTTTCGAGATTTAGTTAATTTTTAAGTTTTTTGTCACCTTCCTCTACTAATCACGATATGCATCCACATTGTCCTTTGACCTGCAGTAATATCTGTTCTGCTTTTTGCAAGAACAGTTATACACACATTGTTAAAGCTATGCCCTCTATATACCTCAAGAGTTTAAACGTTTTCACGTTGACAGTTTTGGATAATTGATAAAAATATTTTATTGGAAATATACGATAATTGGAAGTGATTTGATTTATTTATATTCTATAGACCAAACTTCATGCTTCTTTAAACTAACGCTTAATAATAACATTTTGTTCTTTTTTAGTTTTTGAACCCGGCACCTTTACGATTAATATTGACCCCTTTTCTACTATATCGATGATACTCAATTTTTGGAGCTCAATTCAAATAAATGCTCCTTTGACGCCAAATATTTTAGTGACCTACAAGTACTTATAAAATATTTTGGCAAAGTTTAGAAATAACCGACCAACCTTCTTAAATACTAAGAGTCCGTAGAGCTTTCATTATGGATTTGAGTATTTTCGTCTAAACATTATAAAGTTTTGCTTCGTAAATACTAGTAGCTACTAGTTCGTAATCGTAGCTACTAGTTTCTGAAAATTATACCAATATTATCTTTTTTGGCAAAAGATAAGCAAATTAAGGATAAATCTGACAAAAAAGTCATATAATTAGTAATAAGTGGACTTATTACCAATTACTACATATTTTGCATATTATGCATATTTAATGAAAATATTTAAAATATTGCATAAAATGCTTAAAAGTTTAATTTATTTTAAACGGTCAAAACTGTGTCATCCAGTCAAAAAAAAACCAAATCTAGAGAAAAATATCAAGCTTTAACGTCGCAAATATTTTCCATATAGCTTCAAGTGACCGCCTACAATATTATGTAATAAACATTAAACTTTCATTTAACAAAATATGACAACTAAGTGTTTAAAATAAATGACAAGATTTTTAAATGATTTAATATAGTAGATAAACTCGAACTAAGCTAACAGATTATGTTCTTTCGGTTTACTGCAAAAGGAACATCTTGAGACATTTTTCTGATTTAATTTTTTTTGATGGCAATTAATGTTAAATAATAAAATTCACATTTGCCAAAAGTAACGTAAATTTTATATTATTTTACTGTACAAATTCGCTACAAACATGTTTTTTTGTGGAAATGAGAATTAGAAAAAAAAATTAGAATTGCCTCTCAAACTACTCTTAATCCAATTAATAGTTACAGACGTTTACAGTTTTTAAAAATACTTAGCGGGTTGACGGAAGAAATGTTTTTGAAAAGAAATTTAAAAAGGAAACTAAAGAATATGGGCGGATCTAAAAGAAATGTATCAGTTTCGTATTATTTCGCGGTGTTTATTAGAATATGAAAACACTTGTTTGTCTTCACTTTTGTGCTGGTTCACTGGTAAATAGATTTTAATTGAAACGCTGTGGACTGTAATTTTGTTTAATAGTAATAGAATAGAGATGTTACAAATCTAGGTATCTGCACACTCTTACTTCTTACTTACTTCTTACTAAAAATGGAATGCGCATAACCAAGCGCGGTGTTGACATGGTTGCCATTTAAAAAATAATAAAAAATCCGAATACGCGGTCATTACACTCAAATTTTTAACTAAAATTACTATTATTAGAACAATAATTAATTTTAAACTTAATTAGTTTCTTCGTTGAATCGCATTAACATTTGTTAAGTATAGCTTTCAATTTCTCTTAGACGTCTCCATCAAGACCTTTAAATGAAGTTCAATCTGCTGAGTTACCACATCACTTCACTAATCTCACTGATACTATACACTGGCTTATTTCTACTTAGAAGAATAACATTATGATAATCAAACCATATGTGTAGGTTGCTAGTGCGACTTGTAGTAAAGTGATCTGTAGACTCGTAGGACTTGAACCCTTAACTGGGTTCTGATAAAGTAGCATCGAAGCGATCTAACGTGGAAACTAAGTAAGTTTAATATTTTGTATTTTTAATTTTCTAATAATAATAATAATCTTATTATAATATATATATATATATATATATATATATATATATATATATATATATATATATATATATATATATATATATACGTGTGTGTGTAATATAAATGTGTAGATATTATTTTTTGTAGAGCTATATACATTCCTTTGCTTATTAGAATAGTTGTTCCTCTATTTCTCTAAATCAGTATTTTCATTCAGCTTCTAAGCAATCCAACAACCCACTTGGAAAAATATGCATGTATCAAAATGTATTAAGACAATTTTCGATTAAAATACATTAATAAACAAAAAATCTAACCGTACGCAAAAAGATTATCGTATTGAAATAATTTCGAGTGACGTTGAACAGCTTTGTAAAAACACTTGGCAATACAAATTATAAAACGATATTTTCCTTTAGTTTCAATCAGTATTTTTTTCTATATAAAACCCCATCTCTAAATTTTGTTTTAAACTAGTTGGTCAGACTGGCATACTTTATGTGAATGTATTTTTCTTTTGTGTTTTACTAAAATAAGTTCATCTAGTGAAGAACAGTGTTTTGGATAAAAATAAAGTGATTATTACAAAACATCTGGACATTTAACTTAAATACCAGGAATAAAACCACTTGTGCAAAGACCTAGATTTTATAGGTAAAACCCTATTGTAGATTTAAAATTTAAACTTTAAACTAATTACACAAAAAACTAATTATAATTTGTATTGCAAAGTTATTAGTTCACATGCCCCCACAATTTTTTCTTATTATGGCGTTAACTGTTTTATTACAAAGAGAACTTTTAATATACGTGTAATAGTTAAAAACACAGTAGAAAATGAAGCTAGACTGGTCATATATGTGTTTGAGAATTATCCGTAAAATGTAAAATACCTTCTATATTTGATATTTTAAGATCCGTCTCAACATCCAATTTTAAAATCTTATTAGTTTTTAAATTAAATATTGTGTCCAGTTTTGTTAATTTTTTTTCCTTGTCCATTACGCCTTAGGTCTTTTTTGACTTTTGTTATGGTTATAGTCCTATCATTTGTAAGGTTGGTTGCCAGTTATCTCGCCTTTTTTTAAAGTTATTCCTGGTGGTTTAATTGTTATCTTAAAACTAAAATTATTTGACCTAGTCTCTTACTTTTCATTCGTGTACTATGCTAATTTTATTTCAGTCTTGCCATTCCTCCCCACTAGTACAACACATTATATTTTACAAAAATCTCTAATTTGGTTATTTGATATTTTCTCCTCTAAGGTTTTGCATCAATTTATGTTAAGGCTCTTATTTTTGAGGTTCTAGTGATTCTGTTTATGTCTGCTTGAGCTAGTCTTATTGCTATCGTTCACACAACCACAAACTTATATGGAATCATCTGATATTTCTTATTATTTCAAGAGAATTAAAAAAAACACATGCAAAGTCTAACAATATTTATTTTAAAACAATTTAACCCAATACATAAAAAATATAGAACACAAGTCATTGAAATAACAAATTGAAACTATTTGTTTTAAATTCAGTAGCATACAAAACTTTAATATTAAATCAATAATGTTTAAATTGTTTTAATTTATTTATGTTTTTGTTAATAGTCAGTGTTACCACCAGCCCTAGCCCGTATAAAACTTTCAATTCCCGTAGCCATGCTACAAAACAAACTATCAACATTTAGTTGTGGTAAGTTATTCCATTCTTTAAGAGCAGCTGATTGTTCTAATAATTATATCTCACTACGGCTCTATTGGGTTAAGATCGGGTTAACAAGCAGACCACTCCATAATAGTGATATCTTCTGTTTCCAGGAAGCCTGTCACTCTGCTGCTAAAGAGCCTAACTACAGTTTACAGAACCAAATTCATAAACCTGCGAGTTGTTAAAATTGGCTGGATTAAAATTAAAGAAGAAATTTTGTCACCGTCATAATTCCTTCCGCAACATGACACTTTCTTCTTTATATCTGTAAACAGATCTGTCAGCTTTCGTTCTTGCTTGTCTGCCTTGCCCCCTAGGAACACGAATTCGATGCTTATCTGATTTTACATAAATCCTAGTTTTGTCTGAAAATAGCACATTTTGTTAACTTCCAATATTCCAGTTTTGGTAATAAAGACAAGAATTGAGGTGATTATTCTTAGGATAACTTGAGAACTCTTAACTGCTACTGCTGTATAGTTCATAGGCACCAAGCCATTTTTTATCGTTTCAACTGAAACATTTTCACTTGTAGCTTCCAAAAGTTCCCTTTGGAGCTGCGAGTGAGTGTTGGGTCTCTTCTAGCTACTCGGACCACGACACGATCGTGACAGGCCGTTGTTACTTTTTGCCGATTTTGTCTTGGTTCATTCTTAAGCGTTCCCAAATCTTGATACCTAGTATAGTTTTTGACATAACGCTCTGTGTTATTCCTGTCACTGCAGCTATGTCCTCCGAAACATTTTTGGCTCCACAAAACCAATAATCTTTCCCCTTTGTATATCCAAAAACCCCACCTAAGCATATTTTTTTTTTTTTTGAACGCAAAAAAAAGTTTATTAGTTTTCGTTTAATCTTCAACTAAAGCAAATGATCTATAATGTATAAGCTGTGTTATCTAATTGTTTTGTTTATTTTTAATTAAAATCTTTATTCTTCACAACAATAACAAGTTTTTTAAAAGAAATAAATATTGGTTTGATTGGTGGTGGATTCTATATAAATTTGGGTGTGTGTATATATCAGTAAAAGTCTAACACTTGATTTTTGCAATACATACGAAACGAGTAAGCTAAACACAAAATTAACAAGGAAACATTAAAGTAAATTCAAAACTAAAAATAAAGAAAAAGAAGAATGCTGATACATTAAGCCCAATACGCAAAATAATTTTTTTCATTAGAATAATTTTTAAAACTTTCACAGATCTATTACAAGCAAAATTTTTCGTTAACAGAATATAAAATAAACTAAATTAAAGCTAAATTATAATTAGAAACAAACTATTTTTTTGTTTTTAGTTTTAAAACCAAAATTATCGACAATTTGGTAGGTCGGTTTTTAATCAAAATTGTCTTAATCATTTTGAAACTGAAAGTTAGGTAAGGGTCGGCTCCAGGAGACTATTCCCTAATTGTATCCCCCAGGGTCTCCAAGCGGAGCATGGCAGGCCCAACCGCAGCCTTCAGGAGCCGACCATCACCACCAGCAATCTCCAACAGCTGCACCACAACCCCACCATTTCTCCATTTCCTTTGCAGTCATGAATAACTACCAAGCAGCAGCTGCAGCTCAAGCACAGGCGCAAGGTTTCGGCCCACCAGCCTCTCCACACACGACCGGTGCAAGAGCCGGATTTCCAGCGGCCAACTCTCCAGGACCTACCATCGATATGTACAACAGCAGCGCTGACAGCGTGGGTTATGTCCAAGCCGCCAGTCCACAGCCCAGCAGCTTTCCAGCAATTGCGGTCAGCAGGGCACCGCTTAATTACAGCCCGGTGAGTTTCAAAAAATGTGTTAACAAATATGATTTTTAAACATTGTTTTTGGCATGATTTTAAGTCTTAAATATGACAGTAGAGTAATATAAATTTAAAATGACGGTAACGGAAATTTATGTCTATCTCTTTTCTAAAAATTGCAACTGATATAAATTAGTGATTAAAACATCGTAAATTTTTAAGTCCTAATAGGAATGATTTGCGTATTCCATTACCAATAATGTTTTGGAACAATTAATGTCTTGTTTTTCTTATTTTCCATAATTTTGTTATATTATGCGTTAATATTTATGTATAATTCTTAAATTTTTCGTCGTATCTCTTTTTTAAATATGTTAATATATTTTCTCTGTAAGCTAACTAAATAAATATAGGTAAAACAATATATTTACCAGTCTACGCAAATACTTAAACATTGTTAGTCACACCTATCTCTTTTTGATGTATTCATTCGTTATCTACATTTTCTTTACATATAAATGCTTAGTATCTACTCTCTTCATTTACTTCTGATAGATTTTTTTGGAGCATTCACTTATATGGGTTAGCTTGCGTTTTTCATCTTTTCATGATTCGAAAAAGTTGCGTAGTTGCGTATATATTGATATAATCTCATCCATAATCATGGTTATCAATTTATTGATGATGATAAACATGATTTGTTTATTCGGAATTACAAGGATATAATATGAATGCACGCTGGCTTCTTTAATTAAGTTTATCAACGGGGTATGTATTATTTTCAATATTTCTAACTTCTTGTTTCTCATAAATTTTATTATTTATTTGGATCAAGTTATTAAGCCTTGAAATTACACGATTCAGATAATTATTTCAGGTTTCTATTGAAGGTATCACACGATACTTTTTTTAATTATATCCTAATATATTTTCTTGCCTTCAGAGCTGTTTCTAATTACTTTTCTCAAATAGTTTTAAAAACAAATTTAAATGGGCTTCAGTTCTATCTTGGATAAGATAATATTTAGGTTTATAATTTCTAATTCTTCATAAAAATTTACACTACCAAACCACTTAATTGCAGAAGTACATTTAATAAAACTATACCAACAAAGTTCTTATAATTAGTTCTTTTAACTTCCAAAACAAAAAATTTCTTCTTGGCATTGATCGTTCCATAATTTCCTTCATTATTGCATATTTCATATGTTATTTATCCTGTGTATTTGTCATCATCTTTGTTTTTTCTAGATCCAAGTTGAGGGCTACTATTACTGATGCTTCGCTTAGTTTGCAAAGATGAGCTCCTTAGTTCGAAGGTCTGTTACATTTAAACAAAATTATATCTTTAACGTTGGTACAATTAAACTAACTTAAATATAAACTGTTCAACAAACAATTTTTTTTAAATATCTGCAACGTTCATAATACTTCTTACTTAATTTGGTAGAGTGTTTACTTTGGCATAATAATTCATTTTATCTAAAAATTATACTGATTTATTGTTTTGTTTTTTTTTTATAGCCAATAGATTTATAAACAGTACTTAAGAAATATTTATGAAGCTACTATCCCAAGTCATTTTTTATCTTGGCTACTAGAATACTTTTTCTGATTAATTTAAAGCTCTTTTGATGGCCAACTATTAAACAGAAGAAGGTAAGGCCTTGACTGCGGCTTAACAAGATGATGCTGCCAAAGTATTGGAGTCTTAACACAACCCCTTTGTCACAATTGCAAGAAAACAAAACAACAATCGGAAAACCACATCAGCTCGATATAGAAATAAATCCAGTGTATGTACTGTTAACTTTATATCTTTTGAGTGAGTTTATACATAGTTTGTAAAATAACGGTAACATCTATAAGAAGAATATAGGGTTCTTAATTGATACGGGTACATCAAGAACCATTAAATAGCCAGAAAGAACGAGTGATCTCAGATTATTACCGCCATCAGTACAAATTAGAATGAGAACTGGTGAGATAATTAAAATTATAGAAGAAGTAAATATGCCGACACACAAATATATATATATATATATATATATATATATATATATATATATATATATATATATATATATATGTCGACATATTTACTTCTATAATTTTACTTATCTCACCAGCTCCTATTATAATTTGTACTGATGGTGGTAATAATCTGAGATTGTCACTCGTTCTTTCTGGTTATTCAATGGTTCTTGATGTACCCGTATCAATTAAGAACCGTATATTCTTCTTATCTATGCAACCGTTACAAGTGATTATTTCGACCAAAAAGTAATTTATAAACACGTAGAAATTATTAGGTGAAAATAAAACTCAATCACAGTAATACGATTAAAAAATTAAAATGACTTTATGTTTAAAAATAAAAATAACAATAAAAGAAACGTATATTAAAGTAGAAAATAACAATAAAAGAAACGTGACATTTCTTTGATGAATTATTAAGGTTGGTTGTTATTAAGGTGAATATTAGCTATTTTCAATATTTATAAATTTTGTTTAATATATTACAATATATGTTACTTAAATGTCCAGTGTCCGTTTTATAATTTCAAGTGTTTTGATTTTTGTTAATGTGGTACATCTCAAGATATAATCTACTTTTGTAGTTATCAGCCTATGCCAAAATGTGAGCATTGTTATAATCTAGCATATGACCGGTGTTTTCATAGTGCTCAACAACTGCGCAAGTCTTTTTTCCTAAGTGGCAATCCACTTTATGTTATGTGATGCGTTGTTTTAGCCATTGTGATGTTTGGCCAATGTAGCTATTTTGACATCAAAGACACGGTATTTTATATAATACGTAAATATCATACAATGAACAGCAAATATTTATTTTCAAAAATCAGATAACCAGTACCAACCTTATACAAAAGTAATGTTGTTTATGAAATACCGTGTCTTGGATGTCAAAATTTCTACATTGGCCAAACATAACAATGGCTAAAACAATGCATCACACAACATAAACGTGATTGCTGCTTGGAAAAATTACTTAGTAGTTGAGCACTGTAATAACACCAGTCATATCCTAGATTATAACAATGCTCACATTTTGACACAAGCTGATAACTACAAAAGTAGATTATTTCTTGAGATGTACCACATTAGCAAAAATCACAACACTTTAAATTATAAAAAGGACACTGGACAGTTTAGTAACATATTTTGTAATATATTGAACAACATTTATAAATATTAAAAATAGCTAATATTCACCTTCATAACATCCAAACTTAATAATTCATCAAAGAAATATCATTCTTCTAACGTTTCTTTTATTGCTATTTTTATTTTTATATGTGTGTAATATGATTTTAATCATATTACTGTGACTAATGTATTTAAGACAATTTAATCATGACATTTATTACATACTTCAATGTCAATTTTTATATTTGGAATCTTTTAATTTCTGTAAGTGTTGATATGTTTCTATTGAGAATCTTTAAAAAAACTTATTGAAAATATATTCCTTAAGATCAACGGTGAGATTAGCGTTTTATGAAGAAATTATAAAGAAAAAGAAGATGTTTTCAGAATACTAACTACCTGTGACTTTGCTGTACAACGCCATAGTGAAGAAATTTTAATGATTAGATATAATGAAAAAAGACAGACTAAGAATAATCGAAGAGGTGAACGATACAGATCTTTTAACGACAAAAACTCTTGTGAAAATTCGAGACGTCGAGTCTTCAGCTCAATCCAGTAACAAAAACACATAGTTTCGCTTTACTTATAATAGACGATGTCGTTGATAATCTCTCCAGGTCTTGTTCTTTCTCTACACTAGACTTAAAAAGTGAATATTGGTAATAAGTCAGAAATGGAGCTATTTCTTCAAGGGCAAACTTTATTTTCGATAGGATCAGGCCTTTAGTTTAACTTATTTGAATGACGTAATTGTGGTTGAAAGTCGACGAGCATTCAAATGATCTGAGAAAATCATCGCTTACGCAAAGTTAATTTAAAACTAAGTCCAAAAAAATATTCCATGTTTCAAAGAAAATTTATTAGTTAGGTCATTTCTATCCAGTATTGATGTAACAGGTGACCCTGAGTAAGGTGAAGCAATTTGTGTTTTAATATTATCGTTTAGTCATGCGACGGGTAGCTCTTTCGGGGCGACAGACTAAGTAAAACACAGGTTGAACTAAAAATAAATCTATTGATTTAGCATATATACAATAAATAAAAATAAAATGAATCCTACGTCCCCGTCTGGTCCCGCGATGAATGATTTCCTCGGCGAACGTCTATACAAGAAAGAAAAATTTATTATTAATAACAAACAAATGAAATAGGTGACGTCAATCGCACGCAGACTTCCGCTTCAGTCAATTCAGCGGGAGCTCCGAATGCACTCGCAAACTAAATATTCGGCTGTGCAGGCCCATGGTAATGTTCAATACACATACCGATGGATTCTGCTTGGTTAAGGACAGAGTATCATCCTTAATATGGAAATCTGTCTGTCCGGGTTGGCTCGCAGGTTCAATACACCGGCGAGTCGGGGAGCCTAGAGCGCTGGCTACAAGACTGTCTAATTCCGCTACTCACACGCCTTAAATAGGCGCTCCGAATCCCACTTAGCCGGCTCATTGTAGAAGTGGATGCTCAAATATTGATACTCCCACGGTTCAAACTGTTAAACGATCAGAACATCGTTACAGCCATTAGCAAAATTCACCAAGAAGAGCAAATTAAAATTTTGGATGAGCTAGTAATGTCGCCATAGAAGCTTTTTTTTTCAGATTAAAAACTAACAAGTAGAACTTATTGCTTACTTCAGAAAAGTCTAGTTCAAGTAAAAATATTTACTGTGTTACCAAAAGATAATTTCTAGATTTTCTAAAGGCTTGTGAATATTATCATAAATGCCTCTAAGGTCAACAGTTATTTTTTTCAAACTGCTTATGCAGCTCTAAAATGACTCTAATTTCGTAGTTCCGAAGGTTAAATGGCAATAGGGCTAGATTGATTAGAAGGATATGATTATGGCATCGGACACATTCTTCTTCTTACGGTGCCTATCCGTTCCGGATGTTGCCGATTAA